TAGTAATGACTACTAGAACTGTTTGCATTGCCATCTAACATTTGCGGGCGGAAACTAAGTTAAGGTCCTAATACCTACATACGTAAAATTGCATATGATAAAACATGCTTTACCTATTAAATTGCGCGGGTGGTATCTTTACTGCGCGAATAAGTCGATATACCAACCAGTGGTACGAATGCTAGCCAAGACACAAGATAACGTCCTGTGCAAATGCAAGTGAGAGCAACGCACAGACGTCGAACTCACATGTATATTATGTACACACATTATTTTGTAGAGCACATTATCATAGGATTGGAATTGCTAGACTGATTACATTTTGAATGTATTTAAAATTAAGTCTCCGGACTTCTCTATAACTCTGGATAATCTGAATGTTTATATTATGTTACTATAATTTATATTTTATGACTACTCGACTTTGTAATCTTCAGCGATTAATATCTTCTAAAGAGAGACTTAATTTACACGGCATAGAAACTTAAAATAAAATTTATTGCGAGAGAAAAAGAAAGCAATAGGAATGCAAGATAACATAAAAGATATAGATATTATGAACGTATATGCTGCAAAGATAACGTCTTTACAATGGTAACATGCAAGATATGTATCTATTTAAAACAACACCGTCACTAATTTAAAGACACGATTGTGCTTTCATAAGTATCATCATAGGCAAAATGCGACTGAGTAAAATGATTCCGTCAAACTCTTGTGTTTAAGTAAACCTCGTCGAATATTCCTTTTGTAATAATTACACGAAAAAATAAATTTTACAGTATGAAACGGAGGAGAATAAGCTCTAGCATACAACGAAATAGAATATGTATAAGTCATCACATTTTTTCAAATTTGTAATATTTTATATATCTAACGTTTTATATATCCGATAATACATCGCATTTTCTTCAAATTGTGACATTTTTTATATATGACGAAACATCACACGCAGACATCACATAAACAAAGTCGATTTGTGTCCACACAACATACGAATCCAAAAGATGTCTCAGAGACATTTGTGAAACTTCTTATTCATTTATTAAATAGACTTATCAGGATCTTATAGCCTTTAGGAAACCTGAGTACACCTTAATGTTTCTCTAGTTAACAAAGATGTTCCCTACATCTTTTAAACACATATTTTTTACACATTTTATAATTTCATTCATGTTTCCGGATTACAGCTACCATACATACCTTTGTCTAATTTGGATACATTGGATTAGATTTTGTAAAAACCGACAAACAAAGATTTAAATTAAGATATTAAATAAATAAATTGCTATTAATGTGTGAATTTGTTATCCCTAAACTTTCATTATAAACACATGATTCGATTCTTCTGAGTAGCGTAAGAAGCTATTGTAGCGAAGTGAGTACGGTGAAATAAGACATGGATACCTTCAGGATCTAAAATAAAACGTCATCAAAATGTACAACTACATAACGTCGAGAAGTAGTAAGCTACGTTTGTACATACCGAAGCGAAGTTCTCCATTGATAACACATGCATCTTACCAGCCCTTATTTGACACGGTTTCATGGTACGCAATAACGTGAATAGTAACAATCGTCTAGATCTCAACGAAATCGTGTACCAATTGCAACTGTAACTGTTAATTACATTTGATATATTGATTTCTTGTGCTCTGAATTAGAGGTGTGCAAATCATTTGAATTTGATGAATTTTCTATCACTCAACTCGGCATTCGTTTATGATGAGATATTTCCTCAGAGAAAGCTACATAAAAATTTTCCCTCCTCACAGCTATATTAAAAATTAATTTCTGATTTAAAAAAGAATATATACTTTGTTATGTTCAAATCAGCAACATTTTATTGGAATTCGATTTACTTTGAAACTGAGAAAATTCAATTCGAATTCGAATATACTTTCCAAGATTTGAGTTAATCGCGCAAAATCATGATTCGCAAACCTCTATTCTGAGTATCCCTGTTGACTCACTTAGACACTAATTTATTCTTCTATTCAAATTATTCGAATAAATTTATGAAATGGTAGAACAAAGAGATTTTTATAAAAGTTTTTACGTTTCTATTTCATTTCACGCGATATCATTTCATATCACGAATATCGGGAATAAAAAACGGTACTATTATTATTTTTTAGAAAATGTGCACTATTTTTCTTTTAACAAAATGTGCATAAATATCTATATATTATCCTGTGATAGCCGCTGTTGAGTATATATTACTTTATCCTGTCATCGGTTGTCACCTTTTAAAGAAATATTTATCAATAATAACAAGAATATAGTATAATATAATATAATATTATGGGAACTGTATTAAGCTTGAAGTTTCAGTTTAAATGCGCGAAGGATGTTTGTCCCTTTATATATCATCTAAGCAATTTTTCGAAATCTGTCTGCGACACTCAACAATTTTTCCCAAATAAATCTTGTCGTCGATGTGTTAATATCTAGTAGCATGAATGTTGTTAATGAAACACAATATTGAGTAAGAAACAATATTTTATGAGTTTTTACCATGTTACTATTTTATCACTGGAAATACTCCCGTCATGATGTCGGTAGGTACATACATTACTTCGTGAAGTCCGCTGCTATAGTCGATCAGTTGTTGACTCGAAAGGCTCAAATAATATATATGCACAAATTGTGCCACATTGGCAGCGATGATTCTGATATAGTCATCCATTTGGATGTCCACCATTATTAGCTTGAACAATATATATGGAATTAGGCAATAAATATTTGTTTCGAAATTGCCAACTAATTGGATACTTACCTCGGCCGCGCTGAAACTTAAATTTATAATCACGATTCCTAAAAGAAAGAACAATGACGCTGCGAAAGAGGACGAAAGCAAAGCTGAAAATCTTCCCGCAAAACAACGGAACAGTCATATTAGTGTACTTAATAAACTTCATATTAGTGCAGTAAACTTAATGTCATTAGTTTACGTGGACTAAACACACATTTAATCAGATCTAATTATATAACATTAGCAAAGTTATGAATATTATATGAAAATTTCGCATGATTTAACATGCTAAATAAAATGTACTCTCATTTACGAAGTAGTTAAAACAATTTTTTCAGCGTATTTCTTTCTCTTTCTTTTCCTCTCCCCCTCACCCCCCAAAAATATCTAATATCCACTAAAAGAACCTAATTAAGAAAATCATTCGGAAACAAATTTCGTTGAATGTCAACGGTGCTTTGAAATGCGTTGAAAAAAAACATGTTCAAATCATTTTTCAAAGGAGTGTATACACATGCATGACAGGACATTTCTTTTGAGTGAAATTATGCGAGACATGTATCTTGCCAAAGACAGCATCGTTACTTACTCGGCGGAATGGTTATAAACTTTGATGCAGTGTTTTATAATATGATATGCGTGGTCATCAGCTATATTCGGTTTTAGTATCACATAATCTGATTTCCCGATATTCTTCATATTGTAGCTAATAAACAGAAATATACTAAAAATATAATAAAAAGGACACTTTTTCAAACTTTAAAAGTTTAAAATATTTATCAAGAGGGATAAAAAATACTCAGTTACAAGGAAGGATGCAAAGATCGATTTTTTCGATGTAATTTGTGATTTTTGGATTTAACAAGATATGTGATTTTTAAAGTAACTCACCGTATAATCTCGAACAGTGCGCAAACATGCTGAATGCAAACTATAAACATGCTGTCGATTGCTATTGGCAATGATATCGCGAAGAACAGGCTAACGAAGGCATGAATCATAAGCAGGTTATAGTATTTATCTATATCTAAGACGTGTTCCAAGCGAAACAGAAATTTTTGCGGGTAGGTCTCATTTGTAGGCAACAGTAAATATAATCCAGTGAAGACGAATGGCATCATACAGTAGCAAAACCACGCTGCATAAAAGATCACTGCAATGAGACCACATTTCTTACACAAATTTCTTCCAAACTGAGTGTTGTATGATATTTGTTGAGTTTATCACGCTTGCGTGCACTCAGATCAAGAACGATATTAATAACGATGACCCTACAATTCGTGTCGCTAGAGACGTTAAATTAGAAAACACAACACAGCTCTCGAATTGTCATAAAACAACTGTTACTACTCACGCGCGTATCTTATCGTTAAAATTCTGCTTTGTTCGGCGTAGAGTTGTAATATTTTGTTTCGCGGCCCTGCCTGCATCATATTCCAATCTTTCTCGATGTAATCCAGTAGTTTCTTCATCTGTGGTTTAAGAAGTTCATGTTCATTACTTATGATCACTAGTGTAATCAGTTTATTAGATTTAATCTTAAGTAATATACAAACTTTGTCCTTATTAACGATAAAATTTCCCAACTTCGAAATGACGGCAACGCACACCAGGAAAATAGGCGTATTCTCCATAATAATACTCAAATCCGTTATTCCAGCTAATAGACTCCAAAACTGCAGAAAAGAGGGAATACACAAAGACTAATCTAGATTGAAACTAACGTCATACGATGCATGGTTTCCTGTCTTCTGATATGGATGCTGACTACGACACGATATATTCAGTTCGCGGCATATATCTCTCAATGCGTGGTAACAATCTATGGAATAAGCTGGGCTGTTTGCAATATGACAGTTAAGTGCGTATGTCAGAAGATATGAAATTGTACGTCGTGTGACGGTAATTTGAACCACACTATAAGCGCATTGCGCATTGCACCTCTAAGATTGTGATAGTACAAAGGAAAAACGACATAACGGCTAACATTAGGGTAGCCTTCAATCGCGATTGATACGGCCATTGGCCGATCATAGATAGGAGCAATTTATTAATACGATAGTAATAGTTATCGTAGAAGGACATTTCGCGTCTGGCTGTTAGAGGGAAAATACGGCGCGATGATATATCTCATCGAATACTTATTTCTAATCAAGCTTCATCGTGTATTCTCTTGAAAATCGTAAGAGGATGGCAAATTTGCAACACAATACAGGACAAAAGCACTAGCACAAAGCGAAATAGAGCGTTAAATATTTGAGTGACAATTTCCATTTTCCTCAGCGCACAGCTCTTTTCATGTCCTGTGCAGTGCGTTCGCAACAGTCTGTCTATACACAGCGTCTTATAAGTTAAGCGGTGTTAGAGAAGTAAAATAATTAGAAATAGACGCGTACTTTGAAGTATACCACGGACTCAGTAATAAGTCTAGTCAGAAACTAGTCGCTTCTCGATTCAGATGTTTGTTAAATAACGTTCAACGTTATCATAGCTCTCCTCGTTATATTGCAGACGCGAGTATTATGTTTTTTTTTATCATTATACACTATATAATTATTTTAGGTTGTACCAACAAAATTTCATTAGTATTTACAACAGTATATTTGCACTTTTTACACTAATAGAATACTAACCTTGTTTGCGAATACTTTCCGCTAATCTCTGTCAATGATCTGTCCTGAATCATTCAAAGCTTAGTTGAAATAGTTTCCGCATTTTAAAGCTTAATTTAGAAGCTTTTTTTTGAATTGCTTATAACCTATGTCATCGTTATTTCTCCTTAATTCTTTCATATTTTGTGTTAAATTTTCGAAAATCTCCGAAGAGCAGATACAATATCAACATGAACATATATCAACAAATAAAATTTCCTCGAATAGTATAAGATAAAAAGCAATAACCACTTAGCGATATAATTTCGCAAATATCGGGAATATAAAACGATACTATTATTATTTTTAAGAAAATGTGCGCTATTTTTATTTTAACAAAATGTGCATAAATATCGATATATATTATCCTGTGGTAGCCACTGTTGAGTATATATTACTTTATCCTGTCATCGGCTGTCACCTTTTAAAGAAATATTTATCAATAATAACAAGAATTGAGTATAATATAATATAATATTACAGAATATAATATAATATTACAGAAACTGTATTAAGCTGGATGTTTCAGTTTATATGCACATTTATTTCTTTCATGCTTTGCATTAAATATCCGAAAATGCTAGAAGAACAATCAATATCTGACGTAAAGTGTACAAAATAAAATTTCCACGAATAATATAGGATAAAATATATTTTATTCAAAAATTAATATTGCAGAAAGTTACGGATTAGATTTGCTGCAGAAAGTGTACAAAATAAAATTTCCACGAATAATATAGGATAAAATATATTTTATTCAAAAATTAATATTGCAGAAAGTTACGGATTAGATTTGCTGCAGAAAGTGTACAAAATAAAATTTCCACGAATAATATAGGATAAAATATATTTTATTCAAAAATTAATATTGCAGAAAGTTACGGATTAGATTTGCTGCAGAAAGTGTACAAAATAAAATTTCCACGAATAATATAGGATAAAATATATTTTATTCAAAGATTAATATTGCAGGAAGTTACGGATTAGATTTGCTGCAGACAAACATCAACTAAGATATGAAAGTGTCTATCAATGTTAACAAGTGTGATTATGAAATCTATCTTAACAAATCAAGTAAGTAGTACTACTTTTTTTATTCTCTACTCTTTCTTTATTGCTATCAAGTTCTCTATTTTCATTTACTTACGTATGTAAAATAGGATATAATAAAACATACTTTATCTCTCGAATTGCGTGGTATCTTTTTTGCGCGGGTGGTATCTTTATTGCGCGAATAAGTCGATATACCAACTAGTGTTACGAGTGCTAGCCAAGACACAAACCAGATAATAAATTAACGTTTTAATTTAAATGGTATTTTCAAATCAGGATTTTCTAGTTCATTTATATTTTTTCCTCCAGAAATGTGGTTAATACAATCAAATGTTTCTCTGTGTAATATAGATAAAAAAGTAATAGAACCAAAGTATCGATTCAACACACTTAAGGCACAATCAATTTAGTCGTCACAGTTCTATAATAATCGGTATGTGTATGTGAGACGCGTATACAATACGCGTACGATCTCACCGTATGTCTGTGCGCCGCTTTCACACACTTGCATTTGCACAAGACATACGACGAGATCGTACACGTATTGTATATGCGTCTCATATACACCTGCCGATCATTATAGAACTGTGACGACTAAATTGATTGTGCCTTAAGTGTGTTGAATCGATACTTTGGTTCTATTACTTTTTTGTCTATATTACACAGAGAAACATTTGATTGTATTAACCACATTTCTGGAGAAAAAAGTATAAACGAACTAGAAAATCCTGATTTGAAAATATCATTTAAATTAAGACGTTAAGTATATAGACTGATATTATTGTATGATTGCGTTATTCAAACTTTCATAAATACATAATTTGAACTTTCATAAACACATAATTTGATTCTTCTGACTACAAGAAGTTATTGCAGCGAAGTAAGTAGAGCGAAATAAGATAATGAAGCCTGCAGGAGCTGAAAGAAAACATAAGAATATATTACAGTTAAGAATCGTCGAGAAGTGACAAAAATACGTTTGTACATACCGCACTAAAACTTTCCACCGACATCACGTGTATCTTACCAACCCATATTTGACACGGTTTTATGGTACGCAATAATATGAATAGTAACAATTGCCTAGATCTCATCGAAATCGTGTACCAGTAACGTGCATCGTGCAGCTGTAACTATTAATTATATTTGATATATTGATTTCTCTTGTTCTGAATTAAAGTTGCACGAATCATTCGAATCCGAATCGAATGAAATCATTGTGTGTTTGATTCCAGATTATTTTTTAATTGAAAATACTCGAATTTAAATAATTCGACAATTTCCAAACAATTCAATTGCGAAGTAATCGCCTCATTCATGTTTTTCGTTCAGCCGATCTATTTTATCGGCGCATTCCTGCCCTTGCGCGTGCGCCTGTATTTGTTATATAATTTATGTGTTACATTATTACGTTCGACAGAAAAAGCGCTTTGCGCTGCGCAGCCAGCAACTACTTTTAAGATTTTTTGCAACTACTTTTAAGATTTTTTTCTGAACGAGATTTAGCAGTTTACTCTTTTCCAACATATTTACTTCAATTACAATTGTTTATATTAATTACTTATTAAAAAAGTTATTTATTAAGAAATATTACTATGGATTATTACAATTACTTATTAAGAAAGTCTAATGCTAATCTTATTTTTCATTGAAAGTTGTCTTCTTAATGTACGTTTATCATGCAATTCAAGATTTCCTGATGTGTATATGTATGCAACACTGTAAAATAGAAATATTAATTTACTATCACAAATATTTTCGAAACTACCGCACATATGGTAATCGGAAAACCTGGATATTGAACTCTTAATTATGAATTTTCTATCAATTAAAGCAATACTCTTCTTGTTAGTAATGAGATATATTAGGTGAAGTAAAAAGTTCTGAGCGTTTTTTCGCTTTATTTCGACGATGAAATTAACATAGTTAGGATTATCCGATTTCGATCAAATATGCCGTTTTGTTCGATAATTTTTGTCCATTTTGAAGGCAATTTCATAATTCCGCGATTGAAGAAGTCCTCGTCCCTATTGGTAAAAAACTTGACCAGCTCATTTTCACAAGTCTCTCTTGAGGCCAGTTTTGTACCATCAAGAAAATTTTGCTAATGCTTGAAAAGGTGATAATCGCTTGGTGCAAAGTCTGGACTATACGGCGGGTGCAATAGAACCTCCCATCCAAGCTCTCGGAGCTTCTGGCGCGTCGTTAATGATGTGTGCGGCCTGGCGTTGTCTTGATGGAACACAACACTCTTCCTATTGGCCAATTCTGGCCGCTTCTGGTCGATCGCCTGCTTCAATCTGGTCAGTTGTTGACAGTAGAGGTCCGAATTGAGTGTTTGGCCCGATGGGAGCA